ATTAAGAAATGAAAAGACATTCAACTTCACACTCATTGCATAATTAAAGAAATGCAAGTTGAAATTCAGTATTTTCAACCCCTGTGCAAGAGGCTCTGTTAAGTCTGCCCCCACCCCCCACCCCCCATGCCATTTCTGAGTGAATCCTGACTCAGAAAGGTGTCATTTCCTTTTCTCTTCCGTCTCTTTCTTTCTGATGCTGACCAGAGCCTAAGTATGCTTTCCCTGGCCCTTTGGACTTTTCCATTCTTTCTCTGAAGCCGCTTAGCCTTTGCCATATGGCTGCTTGCTGAACCTCCTTGCCTAACTCAAACAGCATGGCCTTCTCTCTTCTTCTCCATCCTCCTCCAGGCAGCTGCCGGGATTTACAACTTGCCTGCCCTGTGGTTTTTCTTTTAAACTCTAATAAAATTGTCCTCAAGCTTCCTTCTGAGTTTGGTCTTAAATTCTTTTATTGCCAGATGTGGTGGTGCAGGCTTTACTTTCAACATTTGAGAGGTAGAGACAGGCAGCTCTCTGTGAATTAGATGCTAGCCTGGTTTACATAGTGAGAACTTGTCTCAACAATAATCTTTTATTAATACAGCTAAGAACCCTGAAATGGAATCCCAATTTTCCTAGTAACATGTGGCTCCCCAAAATTTCCTGTAACAATGAGGATTTCTTTTTTAAGTATTTTATTTCTTCCTTTTTATTTTATGTTATGAATGTATTGCCTGTGTGTATGCAAATGCATCCATGTCGTGCGTGCAATGCCCTGGAAGTCAGAAGAGAGTGTCAGATTCCCCTGGAACTGGAGTTACAAATTATTATTAGCTGCCATATGGGTGCTGGGAATCAAACCTGGGTCCTCTGCAAGAGCAGCCAGTGCTCTTAACTGCTGAGCCATCTCTCCAGTCCTGATAATGAGGATTTTTTTTTTTTTTTTTTTTTGTCTTTTTGAGACAGGGTCTCCTTGTAGCCCCAGCTGTCCTGGAACTCACTATATAGACCAGGCTGACCTCGAACTCACAAAGATCCGCCTGCCTCTGCCTCTGCCTCCCAAGTGCTGGGATTAAAGGCGTGCGTGCACCACCATGCCCAGCGATTTCTCTTTTTTTTTAAATTTTATTTATTATTTTCATTTTATGTGTATGCTTGTATTGCCTGCATGTAGGGAAGTGCACCCGTGTCATGCAGTGCCCGCAGAGGTCAGAAGAGGCTGTTGGATCCCCTGGGACTGGAGTTACAGACAGTTGTTAGCTGCCATGTGGGTGCTTGGATTTGAACCTGGGTCTTCTGCAAGAACAACCAGTGTTCTTAACCACTGAGCCATCTCTCCAGCCCTGATAATGAGGATTTCTAAGGCATGAAGTGCTTTGGCTTTCTATAGTTTACATTTTTGTGGTATTTATATTTCAAGTGTAACTGAGTCATAAATGATATGCTATGATGGTTAGTTTTTAACTGTCACCTTGACACAACCTCAAATCACCTGGGAAGAGAGTCTTAATTGATGAATTATTTAGATCAAGTTGGCCTGTGACATGTCTGTGGGGTACTGTCTTGATTACTAACTAATGTGGACAGACTCAGCCTCCTATGGGAGGCACCATTCCCTAGACAGAGAGTCCTGAACTATATAAGGGTAGAGAAGTCAAGCTGAGCCTAGGCAAGCAAGCGAGCATGAATGCAGTCATTTCTCTTTGCTCTTGGCTTAGATATGATGTGACCAGCTGCTTTGAGTGCTTGCCTTGACCTCCCCCTCAATGCTGGACTGTAACCTGTTCCCTAAATTGCTTTTTGTTAGGATATTTTATCATAGCAACAGAAATGAAACTAGATCACTAACTTAAGTCAAAAGGGGGAAGGGGGATACTCCTGGGAAGGATACACAGTGTCTCATGGAACCCATAGAACTGAACCCAGAAGGCCAGCAGAAACCAGACAAACCCCGGAGGCTTAGGAAATTTATAGATCTTCTCCCTAGAGCTGCTCCATGGGTGATTCTGACACTCCCAGCTCTGCCTCTCAGTCACATCAAGTGCCAGATGCCCTCGAAGGAATACCTCATCATTTAGCTAAGGCAGCCACAAGAAAGGGTGGGTGCCATAGGCACCTGGCACAAACACACTGTGTTACCCACCCAAGATCTCAGAACTGTCCCAAGGAGGCAACTTTCTGGGGAAGTAACTTATACTAGGTCTGAAGGGCTGCCAGTGTAAAGTCCTATAGACTGAGTGGCTTAAACTACACAAGTGTATCCTTAGTTCCAGATGTTAGATGATCGAGATCAAGGTGTCTTTTGGAGAGGGTCTCCCTGTAGCCCCAGCTGGCCTGGAACTCAATTTATAGACCAAGTTGACCTTGAACTCACAGAGCTCCACCACCTGCCTCTTCATCACCCTGATTTCTGCCTCCATACCCTCCTGGCATTTTCTCTGATCATAGGTCTCTATGCAAATGTCTTCTCTTCATAAAGACACTGGCTATACTGGATGAGGAGTCTGTGGTGGTTTGAATGAGAACTGTCTCCCATAGGCTCACGTATTTGAACACTTTGTCCTCAGTTGGTGGTGCTTTGGGGGAGAGCATACCACTGAGTTACACTCCCATTGGTTTATTTGTGGGGTTTTTGTTTTGTTTTGTTTTTTGAGACATGTATGTACGGCTGTCAGTAAGACTTTCACCCTAGGCTCAAGCCTGTCTCCCACAGCTGGGGATTACAAGCATTCATCACCACCCCATCACAGTTCTACACTCTTTTTTTCCTGAGACAATCTGACTATGTATTTGGCCTGAAATTTTCTTACTGTGTAGACCAGGCTGGCCTCAAACTCAGAGATGTGCCTGTCTTTGTCTTCCAAGTGTTAGCTCTGGAACTAAAGCCCAAACAACTACACTCAGCAGTTCTATGATTTTTTTTTTTTAAGATGAATTTTTAAAATTTTATGTGTGTAAATGTTTCGCCTGTATGTACAACACCATGTGCATGTGTGGGTCCTTGGGAATCCAGAAGAGGATGTTGGATCAGACTGTTGTTAGCTACCATGTAGGTACTGAGAACTGATTCCAGTAAGTGCTCTTAACTGCTGAGTCATCTCTCTCCTGCCCCAGTTATACAATTTTTGTTTGTTTGTGTTTGAAACAGGGTCTCCCTGTAGCCCCATATGGCCTGTAACTCACTATGTAGAACAGATAGGCTTTTTGATCTCACAGAGATACACCTGCTTCTGCCTCCAGAGTGCTGGGATTAAAGGCATGCACCACCACACCCAGCTAGTTTTGGAGTTCTTAAATGTATTTTCAGGACTGGAGCAATGGCTCAAACTCTCTTGCAGAGAGTTTGGGTCCCAGCACCCACATGGTGGCTAACAACTATCCATAACTCCAATTTCAGGGGATCTGATGCCCTCTTCTGACCTCTGTGGGCATTGCATGACACAGGTGCACTTACATACATGCAGGCAATACACTCATACATATAAAATAAAAAGAACTAAAATATTTTTTAAAATTAAAAAATGCATTTTCATGGCACTAGGGGCCTGAGTTCCATCTCCAGAACCCATGTAAATAAGCCGGGTGCAGTGGTATGGGCTTGTAATCCCAGCATTGGAGAGGTAGAGAAAGGTGGATCCCTGAGGCTTGTTGACCAGCCAGCCTAGCTTTGTAACGGGAGCCCCAGGCCAGTGAGAGATAATGTCTTAAAAAAACAAGGTGGGGCTGGCAAGATGGCTGAGTGAGTTAAAGTGTTTGCTGTGCAAGCCTGGAGACCTGAGTTAGATAGATAGATAGATAGATAGATAGATAGATAGATAGATAGATAGATAGATAGATAGATGATTGATTGATGATAGATAATAGATAGATAGAAGATAGATAGATAGATAGATAGATAGATAGATAGATAGATAGTTGGATGATAGATAGATCAAGGTGGATGGCTTCTGAGAGGAACCACTGGACATCTGAGGTCCTCCCATCTCCATATGTGCACCCACTCAGGCATGCACACACACACACACACACACACACACACAATGCATTTTCATGCATATAGGTATGTGTCCCCATGTTCACTATATAATCTGGAAGTTTGAAGGGATTAAGTACAGTGTTTTCATATAGCACATTCTGCTAGACTCTGGTTTGTCTTCCTTTCCAGTAGTCTAATCTCTTAAATCCTTCTTTCCCTCATAGGAGCAAGTTCATTATCTCTCCAAATTCTCCTCTCAAGACCACTTCATCAGAAGCCTGTCTTCAACACTTGACACTACCTACCCCCCAACACTCACGCACACACACACACACCACACTTATACACCAACACACCTTGCTTATCTGAAATTTAAATTTTATTTTTTTATTTTATGTGTATGAATGTATTGCCTGCATTTATTAATATTTTATTATTTTTATTTTATGTGTATGTGTCACTGCAATGCCGTGTCGTGCAATGTGCGCGGAGGTCAGAAGAGGATGTCGGATCCCCTGGAACTCGCGTTTCAGACAGTTGTTAGCTGCCATGTGGGTGCTGGGATTTGAACCTGAGTCTTCTGCAAGAACAGTGTTCTTAACCACTGAGCTATCTCTCCAGCCCCCATTCTTCATTCTTTAAATGAGTCGGATTACTAGGAGTCAAGACTTCCAGAGCTGCTGAACCGGGATTTCAGCCATGGGCCGTCCTTCCATGAACCACGCCCCCTGCTCCCAAACTGTCCAGACAACCAGTGACCACTTTCCCGCAGAGCACTGATTTTCCTGGCGTCCCTGCGTCCACGAGGGCTTAGCCAATCGCTTCCCGCCCAATCTGTAACTGAACCCACACTGCGGCAGACGGCCTGGGGGGGGGGGGGGCGGGGAACAAAGGAGAAGGAGGAATCAGCCAGACCCGGACTCCCAGTTCTGCTTTTTTCTCTCCAGAGCCATGACCCACCCTGTGAGCAAGCCTGCCTCGCTGCCCCTCCCAGCAACCTGTGCCTGGGGAAGGCGGGGTCAACCGAATCCTAGCCACAGCCAATCAAAGAGGGGTCCTCTAGAGAGGGGCGTGGCCTGACAACCAGCAAAGCAGCTGCGCCAAGCCGGACGGGGAGAGCTAGGCTGTTCTGGACCCGGGTCCAGGTACTTTTTGCGCTGCATCTCTCTGGGCTCGGTGCGCGGGATGGAGTGCACCCCGGAGGCCTCGGGAGGAGGCCAGGCCGAGGCCAGTTCCCCAGAGGAGACTTTGGGAAGCCCGAGGACGGAGCAGCCGCAGCCCCAGAGTCCGGAAGGCAGCCCCAGGCCGGAGAGGGCGGGGCGAGAGGCGGAGGGCGCGGACCCCGAGAAGCAGCAACCTCAAGGCCGCCGTGGACCACCACTCAGCCTGGGCTACGGCGCCTTCCGCCGCCTAGGCTCGAGCAGCCGCGAGCCGCCGTCGCCCGGCCCCGCGCCGTCGGAGCAGCCCCGGGACAGCGAGGCCGAGCTGCAGCCCTGGGCTGCGCCTGAAGAGCCGGGGCCTGGGCCCTGGGCTCCCATGGAGCTGCAGGTGGACGTGCGCGTGAAGCCCGTGGGCGCGGCGGGCGGCAGCCGGGCACCCTCTCCGGCGCCGTCCACCCGCTTCCTCACCGTGCCGGTGCCGGAGTCGCCCGGCTTCTCCCGCCGTGCATCGCCCGCTCTCCCGCCGCTGCAGCGCGCCCCGTCCCCGGGCGCCACGTGGGGCCGCGTCTCGCCGCTCGCTGCTGTCCTAACGGAGAGGGCGGGTCCCTCCGAGGGCCGCGTGGGCTCCCCGGGCTCCCCCGCATGCCGCTGCCGCTGCCAGGAACCTGGGCTGACCCAGGAGGACGCCGTGCTGCTGCAGCGCGCAGGGATGGACGGCAAGAAACTGCCGCGAGCTGTCACGCTCATGGGTGAGTGCCCACGGCACCTGGAGGCCGCGTCCCCTTCCCAGCACGGGACAGCCACCGTGTCACCCAGGAGCCCATCCCGATGCCCCAAGCCCACCGGGCCCCTCGGTCATAGAATTATTAAGAACCGAACCACCATCCTGGCCCTCTCCCGGGGAACTTTCACATTCCTACGTAGTGTGCACAGCATCTTGGAGGAGAGGTGGAAGGAACTCCGGGTGAGGGGAAGTGATTCAGAATCACGTGGCTGTGGTCGCCCGATCACTTGACCTGGTTGCACCTCCAAGGCCCAAGCTCCTTTCTCTCCACTTTACTGAGAAGGGTCAGCCATCAGCACACACAGCTGGCTCCGGGCCAGACAGTTGGGGTGAGCTTGTGTTTGGCTCCTCGTGTGGCGGTTAAGGGAGCTGGGCATTAAGAAAGAGCCCCTATGAAGATTATAAATACCTCTGGGTAAGGAATTAATGCGGAAGTGGTGGGTGAACTTGGCCGTCCTGGGTTGGGGGTGATAGAAACTCATTAGAGACTGGCAGAGACAAAGGCCAAAACGAGCTAGAGCCTACGCCTACAGGCAAACTGCTTCAATCACCAACAACAGAGAGACAGAAAGAGGCCTAGGAAAGAAAGGGACTCTCCCCTGGAGCTCCACTCTTACACTCAAACACTCTTACAGGTTTGTGTGAGAGCTTTTTCTGCATGGTGAGATATTCGTTTGCTTTCCACACATGTAGTGGCTTTGGATGACACATTTATAATCTTGCAGTTGTGTGTATCAGAGGTCTGACACCCGCTCACCAGCAGCCTAAAGTGAACTGAAGTGACTGTCAGGAGGGCTGTGCCTGCCTGGAGCTCCAGGGGAGAGTCCCTTTCTTTCTTTGGCCTCTTTCTGTCTCTCTGTTGTCAAACCAGCCATGTTAAGATAGATCCTTCTCCTGATGCCATTTCACTGGCTGTGGTGTGTTTCGCCTCCCTGTTCCATAGGTAAGAATGCTCATGATTACACTGGCCCCATTGAGATACCCCACCCCACCCCCACACACCAGTCTCTATCTCAGGATCTGCTTGGCAGATCAGCAACTTCATCTCCATCTGAACCTTAATTTCTCTTTGCCATGTGATCTAGTGTCTTCACCAGTTCCAGGGATTAGAATGCAGGCACCTTTGGAGAGATGTTACTGTATCTGCCACAATACCAGCCTTTAGTTTTTTATCAGATTCTTGAAAGAAGCTGTGACTAAAAAGGACGGACTGATAAGGAATCAGTGCAGAAGTGACATTGTTGGATTTGTTCTAGAAAGTAGACTGACAGCTCCCTGTGGAGGAAGGCTGGGGCAGACGACAGAAGAGGGGCCCCCAGAGGCAGAGTTAGTAGCAGGGGATGATGGATTGTGTGCCATTCCACAAGAAGAATATTCCCAAAAGGATATGGGAAGAGATGTTGGAGAAGGTGCCTTTGGGAGCCCCAGGCAGAGATGTCATTTGAAGGAAGAACAGCCATAGAGATAGGGAAAGAAAAGTATAGCTAGTGGAGAATCTGGAACAGAACAGAAAAAGGGTTTCCAGAGGAGAGTGGCCAGCAGTGTCAAATGTGCATTGAGGTTCCAGGAAAGAGATGCTGAGACTGGATGATAAGACAGTATTACTATATTGAGAAAACGGGCAGGGGATGAGCCAAGTAACCGGAGGGATGTGACATTTACTATGCAATGCCACATTAAGGTGATGTGTAAATAAAAACAGCCTAAGTATTAGCATTCAGTTATGCCAAGCACAGACCCAAACTGCTGAAAACCTGTTTAAGAATTCTCTTGCAGCTTTTAATCCCAGCACTTGGGAGGCAGAGGCAGGTGGATCTCTGTGAGTTCAAGGCCAGCCTGGTCTACATAGTGAGTTCAAGGCCAGCCTGGTCTACATAGTGAGTTCCAGGCCAGCTGGGGCTACAGGGAGACCCTGTCTCAAAAAGACTAAAAAAAAAATTCTCCTGGGGGCTAGAAAGATGACTCAGCGGTTGAGAGCATTAGCTGCTCTTGCAGAGGACCAGGGTTCAATTCCCAGCACCCACATGGGAGCTAACAACCATCAGTAGCTTAAGTTCCAGGGGAATCATCACCCCTGATGACCTCCTTAGCCAGTGCACAACACAGGTGCACTTACGCACATGCGGGCAATACACTTATATATATTAAATAAAAATAATAAATGCGATTTTTAAAAAAAATTCTCTTGAAACTGTGACCCGAAACAAAGGGCCCAGCTCTTTCTTTTATTGGAAACAGGCTATCTATCATGAAATGGGGAAGTAAAAGCAGAACTGTCTTATCAGAAAAGAATTTTGCCCTTTCTGATCCCTACTGATTTAGAATAGCACTCATACAACCATAAACAGATGTTATCAGTTTAATCCCATCTATTGTGTGCAACACAAATGGGATAATTATCTCATTGTTTTCAATGAGATAAGTGCTGGGACATGTCACACAGCACATCCTACCTGGTGGGTGCCATTGCTTGGGTCTTTGGTTTTGTGTTCTGGGAAGCATGGGGTTAAAGAACTTTGGGCTATCCAGTGAGGGCTGAGGCTTGGTCTGCAGTATCCTGCTTGGATGAGGACCACTGCTGAGTAGAGATCAAGCAGGTTATCTCAAGAGTGGCAGTGTAAGAAAGACAGCAACATGCCTGAACCCAGGTGCTATAAGTGAGGAGACCAAAGACTAGGACAATGTGTTCAAATGTTTTTGTTTAGTTTTGTTTTTGAGAAATAAGACAGGTCTCTTGTATCCCAGGCTAGCATAAAGCTCACTAGACAACTGAGGATGACCTTGAACTTCTGTTTCTCCCACCCATACCTCTCAAGTACTGAGATTACAGGGATGTGCCACCACGCCTAGTTTATGTGGTGCTGGGAATCAAACATGCTAGCTTGTGGGCTTCATGCATGTTAGCACTGTACCAACTGTTGAGGCAGCTGCCAGGTGGAAGATGATTTTGCAAAGCTGAGAAAGGGGGAGAGCTGAATCTTCACATGGAGACCCTTCCCCCTCAGAGCTTGGCTTGCAGTTACCTTCTCTGATCCCAAAGGCCAATTTAGAGGTGTCTGTCTCATATTCTCATCTGACTTGTGTTAGTTACCCCAGCATTCTCTACACAGGTTATGCTTACCTCCTTCTAAGTATCCCCTTAGGGGCTTGGAAGGTGGAGGCACAGACTTGCCCATATCTCCAATACCTGGCACATCAGTAGCTTCTAAGACAGTCTGTCTAGTTACACAAGTCTGAACTTCCTGTTCCCTAGTGCCTCTGGGGAAAAGAAAGTGTTTGATCTCAGTGGTTGGCCTGCAGTTAGCACACTTGTATAGAAAAGGATGTAAAGACATGCCCCACCTGGACTTCAGGTAGAAGCCTGTCCTGTTGGGGGCAGGGTGGTCGCGACATGGGGACACGACATTCACAAAGCAAAAGTATAAATCAGCCTGTAGAGAGGGGCAGGAGCACAGGCTCAGAGGCTGTTGACATTGAGGCTGGGGGACAAAGGTGAGACAGAATTGAAGTTCCGAAGGTGGTTTGGATTTTGGTGGAGATTTGGAGGTGGTTAGGATTTTGAAGGTGAAAAAGAATGATGTCATCAAATGGAGAGGAGCAGAGGTCCTGGGTAGAAGGAGGAGGTGTACCTGCCTTGCACTGGCATCAGCCTCTTACACTGTTCTTGGGGGTTGGGACGAGGCATTGTCTTTCACAATCACTGCAGAATTAGATTTAAAGCTGGGAAGGTCCAGGACTAGGGAAAGGAAAAAACAAGTGAAAGGGGGCTTAGCTTTGTCTATAGGTCTATGTTTTTACAAGCTGAATGTGTGTAGAATGTATATATGTTATTTGTGTAATTAAGAATTGCTTTGTGGGACTGGAGAGATGGCTCAGCAATTAAGAGCACCGGCTGCTCTTATGGAGAGCAAGTTCTCAACTGGTTCAGTTCTCAGCACCTGGTTCAGTTCTCAGCACCCACATGGTAGCTACCAGCCGAACATAACTCCAGTTCCAGGGATCTGACGCCATCTTCTGACCTCCTCAGGCATTGCACAGCATGGGTACATTTACATGGGGGCAATACACTTATACACAAAAAATTAAAAATAAATAATAAATGTTTTTTAAAACTTACTTTGTAATGGTGACTTACACCTGTAATCTCAGTATCCAGAAGGCTGAGGCAGGAAGACTGAGAGTTCTTGGCCAGCCTGGGCTATATGCTGAGACCCTGTCTTTAAAAATAAGAGTCTAGGTGTGGTGGATGCCAGAGGCTGCAGTGGAAAATTGCTGCAAATTTGAAGGCAGCCTGGTCCCAGAGCTCCAGGCCAGCCAGGCTGCAGAAACTATCTCCAAAAACAAAACAAAAGAAAATGGTGGGTGGAGATTTCCTCTCTGGCTTTGCAGGGCCCTTGTCAAGTCAGGCAGCTTGGAACTAGGTGGGTCCCCCTAACTGGTGTGGAAGAAATTTCTCACCTACTGGGTTTCTTTAATGCTTTGTTCTCTGAAGGTCAGAGCTAAATGCAGGGTTCAGTCACACAAATTACAGTTACTAAGGTCCGTTTATTTTCCTAGTGTTTCCCAAGCTTTCCAGTTCTCCTTTTATTATTTAAGAGCCCCAGTTTAGGAGAGGGACATAGCTCAGTGGTAGAGCACTTGCCTAGCATGAAGAAGGCCCTAGGTTCAATGCCCTGTCCTGTGAAAATAACAACTCTCATCTTTATTTTGAATTGTTTTGTTTTTCAGGGGGTTTTTTTGGTTTGGTGGTTTTTTTGTTTGTTTGTTTGTTTGTTTTTTTGAGACAGGGTCTCCCTGTAGCCCCAACTGTCCTGGAACTCACTATGTAGACCAGGCCGGCCTTGAACTCACAGAGATCCGCTTGCCTCTGCCTCCCAAGTGCTGGGACTAAAGGTGTGTGCCACCACGCCCAGCCTTGTTTTTGTTTTTAAGGTGGGTCTTGCTGTGTACATCTGACTGACTTGG